GGCGGCCCGGCTGGTAGCCTAGCTTCTCGGGTTGGGAGAGAGTGGCCAAGGAGGTATCGTCGTCTGTACCACGCGGTAGGTATGTCGGGATCGTCGGGATCGGAACGGGCCAAGACATTTGAGCGGCGAAAAGGGGGCGGGGGGGAGGGGCGGGAGGAGGAGAAGCGGCGACCACGAGCATACATCGGGGTGTGGCCCTCTGTTTATCTATCACTCTTTACTCGTTTCTCTTTTTTTTTTTTTGAATCACTCTTCTTTTTATTCTTCCTCTCTCTTCTTGGGGGAAATTTCGATGAAGTTTCATGCTGAAAACTGTTGTACATGCGGAGAGAAGTAGTGCAAACATGTCAATACTTGTGGACGAGAAGCAGTCCTTTTTTTTTTTTTTTTTTTTTTTTTTTTTTTTTTGGTACGAGGGAGAAGCAGTCTTATGGCCATTTTTTGTCACTATTCACCATATTCCTTTTCCGGCTTGTTCTACATCGGGATCGGGGCATAGAAAAAAAAGCCGGAAAAGGAAAACGCAGAAAAGAAGAAGAATAGCGATTTAAAAAAAAAAAAAAAAATGCTTTCCTTAATCTAAAAGTTCAGTACATGCGGAGTCGATTGCAAAATCTGTTGAAGCAAGAGCGCAAAGAAGACTGATAAACAGAGTCGGGACAAGCCTGCGCGTAGTCGGGATAATAAGCCTGTGCGTAGTCGGGATAAGCATGTGCGTAATCGGGGGGATATTAAGGGCCTCGCTGCACTACTCTCGACATGCACAAAAGACAAAAATCATGGCAGTGCATCTTTCCATATTCTCGCGGAAGATTCACTCTCGTTTTGCACATTTCGAGAGTAGTGCAGCGACGCCCTAAGCCTGTGCTTCGGCCAAACACCAGCTTGAGCACATGCTTTGCAATCGAGTCCACATGCACTGAACTTGCAAGGAAAAAAAAAAACACGCAACATTGCTCGACGCCTTTTAGCCCAGGTTGTGCACTTGGCGCTCCCTTCTCCCGAATCTTCTCCGGAATCTTCTCCCGAATCTTCTCCCGAGTCTTCTCCCGAGATCCGCCTTTCGGCACCACCGCTCACTCCAGCCAAAGAACGACGGGAAAAAAAAGGAAAAAAAATAAAAAGAATAGAAGACAGAAAGAACAACGGAAAAAGAAAAAGGAAGAATGGAAAAAGAAAAAAAGGAAGAATGAAGAAAAGAATGGCCATAGACTGCTTCTCGTACACGCATCGATAAAAAGCTCACTTAAAAAAAAAAAAAAACTACTTCGCGGCATGTACAGTTCTCCGTTGAAACGCGCAAATTATCCGATGCGTTTCAGGTCAGGCTGCGCTGCTGGTGCATCTGACACTCTTCAGGGGGCTTCTCCACAGATCCGCCTTGCGGGTGCATCTGACATCCCAACCATTTTGAGAAGAAGAAAGGAAGGAGAGAGGAAGAAAAGAAGTAAGAAAGGGAGGGGAAAAAAAAAAGGGAGGGGAAAAAAAAAAAAAGATCGGAAAAGCAGTGGGCCATACACATGCCTCCGAGCACAAATCAATGGTAGATTCAGTGTACGTAATAAAGGCCAAAAACTGTCTTGTGTGCATGCATCCATTCATGTTCATTTGCACAATCGCATGGACTAAGCTATGAGAAGAGAGAAGAAAGAAGAAGCAGCTATGAGACGAGAGAAGAAAGAAGCAGCAGCTATGAGAAGAGAGAAGAAACTATGAGAAGAGAGAAGAA